GAGGAGCGTCGGGCGAACCTCGTACTAACTTTCAGCAATAAGACTCCGAATGTCGCACCCATATTAAGAAAACATTTTAACATTTTACAACAAAGTGAGCGCCTCGCAAGAATTATCCCCTCCGTTCCCAGAGTGGTCTACAGACGCTCACGCAATCTTAGGGACGCCATAGTTAGGTCTAAGACAACCTACACTGAAAGCACTGGCAGTCGTCCTTGTGGAAGAACAAATTGCGATGTCTGTCAACACGTGACACCTAAAACCACGGTAGAGAGTACGAATTCCAATTTCACCTACATAATCCGCGGAAACTTAAACTGCAGCACAAGTAATGTGATATACCTCCTCACATGTGGCACCTGCGGTAAGCAGTACGTGGGCCAAACCAGCACACCTTTCCGATTGAGGTTTAACAACCACAGGGCGCATGTAAATTCATTTCCCAAACTCCCCCTTTCAAAACATATGGCTTTACCCAAACACACGTTTGACAAACTGGACGTTACATTTTTACAATCCAATTTCAAAAGCAACCGTGATCGCGAGCAGAGAGAATCGTATCTTATTTACAAATTTAATTCAATCCGGGCCGGTATTAATGAAGATCCAGGTATAATGTCATCTATGCATGCAATCTACCTTGATCCCCCTGTAGCGGAGTGACTGTAGCTAATTCAATCGCATTCGTTCAACCCTTTAATTTTTTCGTGTACCTTTCTGTAACTTTTTCGTGTACCTTTCTGGGACTGTGGTTAACACTGTTATATTTAGGTTTTTTTTTTTTTTTTTTTTTTTATGCAGGAGATTTGTTTATGCTTTTCGGCCGAGCGTTTGCCTAATTTAATGCGTGCGCTTTTTTTTTTTTTTTGATCGCAGAGGATTTGTCTATGGGCTTTGGCATTGATTTACTCTGTGTGCTTATTCACCTATTCTTTCTCTATGTATGGTTTTTTCTATGTGTTTTGGCGTTATTTACTGTGTGCGCTTATTACATTCCTCCCCCCCCCCCCTCCTTTTTTTTTTTTTTTGTTTGACTTTGCGTTCTTTCGCGGCGTGCGTTGCTGGCCATCTGGGCCGATCCAACTATGTGAACGTTACTGCGCCTTCCGCACGTGACGTTCCTGGGGTCACAAAGTCTGACGTGGCCTTTGGTTTGCTCCGATGGCTGGCGGCGTCTGCTGCGGACGTGCGTGGAGTGGGGGGAGTACAGCAGCGTTTTTTCACTTGGGCTCTTTTACTTGGGCATTTTTACACGTGATCTGACAGGTGACGTGGCCCGGGTGGGGAAAGCGAAAACAACCCTGTAACCGACTTTGGCCACCAGTCTTGAAGAAGGCCTGTCTCAGGCCGAAACGTCGACTCACTAAATGCTTTAAAACTCCAACAACGTTTCGAAGTGCGACTTTATTACTTTATAGTCTTCGGCATCCTACGCTATATTTTCTTTGTCTATATATATATATATATATATATATATATATATATATATATAATGGGAATGACTGAAGATTGACAAGTGAAGCCGTAGTAATATTATGAACGAAGAGGGGAGAAGGTGATTATTGAACTTATTGCATTAAAGTTAGGGAAAAGGAAGGGGAAAGAGAGCTGACGAAAAATTGGGCCACGAGCGGGGATTGAACCCACATCCCCTGTCCGAGGCGTCGCCTCGGACAGGCGATTACCCAATCGCACACAGTGAAGGCGTCGTGATCCTTCGTATCTCGTGTGGGATTGTTTTAACTTATAATAGCAAAAAAAAAAAAAAAAAAAACTGCTGTTGACAATGCATTTTTGGCGCGGCTTGATTGTCTCTGTCGGATCGGATCATAGTAATAGCGGCAATAAAGATAATGGCATAAGGCGACCGCGGACTTGTGTTGACGGACACTTGCGCAACCTACGCCCGATACTTACCCAATCTCTTCTTCGTCGAAGCAACGCCGCCCACCAAGAAAAGCAGCAGGATCTGAACGCGAGCGTTCATCTTCGGTTTGGTTGTTGCTGAAAATGCAGACGTGCAATCCACTCTAATTTCAAAGAAACGCCTTATACCTGATGACATCTGTTTATTTTCGTTAATATTGTTGTATGTGGCATTTTAAAACTTTCTTATCGTGAACCATGCGAGGTCAAAAGCTTACGTTTTAGATCACCAATGAGCCACCAGCTGCGTGTTGAATAGGCCAATCAACATTCAATATTGAGTGACGTGCCTGGGCCCGTATAGATGCACCAATGGATGATAGTCACGTGGCTCGAGGAAGCACGCTCATTGTTCCGAGGAAGGAGAACCTTTGAGATTATTGTCAGCTTCAGGGTGGATGACGTGTCTGTCGTGATTGAGAAGCAATCAAGATCGCGATCAAGCAACATTTTTTATTGTTTCGTACGGCCCTATTGAGATCTTTTTGTTCACGAACGTTTTACCCTTAATAAACAAAGACAGCTATATAGTTTATTTTGTGAGACGGTAACGTCGGATTTTTTCTCCGATTATTTTTTCTCGATTAAAGCCATCACGCAGATTTTTGTCTGTTTGCCATTTGCCGACAGCGGCTTGAAGACAAAGGCTTCTTAGGGCTGTTCAAAGAAATCGGGCAGTATATTGTAGTTTTGGGGAGCCTATAAAGATGCCGGCGGTCCAAAGGTGGCTTCGGTTTTCAGAAAGAATATTAGCAAAAAGGAAAAAAAGATATTATACCTTTTTTTACTTTCACCGCTGCCCTTTTATAAAGTTCAAGAAATAAATTCACTAACAAATTGTAATATTGTAAAATTGTATAAGTTCAGTATTTTTGTATTTTAAAAGCGAACCTTTGGCATGTCATATGAAACTAACTCCGCGCAGTAAAAGGTATCAAACCCCCCCCCCCCCCAAAAAAAAAAAAAAAAAAAAAAAATTGCTCATAAATAAACTATTCTGAATAAAATTTAAAAAAGAGAAAGAGAAAGGGAGGGTGAGAGAGGGAGGGAGGGAGGGAGTGAGGGAAGGACGGAGTACAAATATAAATTGCTGTTGAATTATTACATAGATCTCAGCCATCAATTGCAACCTGTTTTTTTTTTTTTGTAATTGTAAGGTGGCTAAACATTTTATCAAATATTCCAAAATGCCGTGAATTAAAGGATAACAAACACGTTTCTTGTGGACTTGGCAAAATTGTTTGAAACAAAACACTCTCTATAATTAAAAACAAAACAAAAACAACAACAACAAACACGCATCTTCACAGATATCTCTGCTTTTGACGCTGTAGCAGTTGTTCTATCTAGTGATTAGTAATTCCTTCTCAATTCTTAACTTCATGCTGAACTCATACCACTTGTAAAATCGCATTGTTCTGAAGTTCGAATAAAGTTGTACTGTGCGGCGCCATTTCAACTGTTCAGTTTTTATACGAAGTCTACATAGCGGAAGAGATACCTCGGTTCCTGAACCCTACACTTGATAACTAAAATGTCACTTAAGAAGCAATTATTTCCGTCGTAAATTACTCACATTATTCTATGGAAATGATCAACTTCTATTAAAGTCTGGTTGATTACAACAAAAAACGCTGTAGATTGGATAGCGTGCTTTATTTATTATGTCTCATGCCTCGTCACCTTATCTTTCATTTGGTTCCGACTGAAGCGAAACAATGTATGTTGAAGATAGTTTTGCATAATGTGTTTGAAACTTGAAACCGGTTATGCAACCCCATTTTTTAATACTCTGCAGTACATCTTAACAAATGACCAACCTCTTACATACATCTCTTGTGCGAGCACGGCACTGGCTTCAAGACGGTTTCACGCCAACATAATGTACAAATCCCGCGTGCCAGCGCAGTCGAAAAAAATAAGTAAAATGGAATGAATGTGAACAGGAAATACGGCGGCCCCTACTTAGGGTCTCCGATGAATAGCTAACGCTTCAGCTCGTAAATAGAGTTAATCTATTCGCCCCTGAAACACGGCCATGTAACCGCCGGAAAGAGTTTTGTCTCAAAACGAGGGTTGCCTCCAGCCTCCTGCAACAAATGACGCGCGACCTTGCGCCACTGCTCACGGACGCGCAGTTGCAATGTTTGCGTGCAACCGCTGACTGTTGTCGCTGACAGCTTAAAAAAAAACACAAGGCGTGGTTTATTACATGACGCTTCTTGCTTGGAATTTCGTTCCTTCGACGTTCTTATCGGTTAAAACTTCATTCTCATTGACTGCGGAACAATGATAATATGTTCAGAACTCAACACGCCTTGCATGGTAAGTTCCGTGTGACTTGGACCGCATACGAGTCTACGAGGCATCGTAACCAATCCTGGGCTGCGTGAGTGTTCACGTGACATTCGGGAATGTAACAGTGACGCTCGAAGTCGGCAGTCACGTGATGTGTTGGGGAGCGCTGGAATTTTCTAGGATGGCCCGTAGCGTGCACAGCGGCCCTGCGTAAGATGAAGCGGTGTGTGTGGAGGAAGTGAGACATGTCAAAGTGGATGGCCCAGAAAAAGCGTATACGTCAATTTTTGTTTCCGGCCCACGAGGACACCCTCCTCACGCAGATCAGACAACTTGCAGGCCGTAAACAAATATTAACGCTAGGGTGGGGGGGAGGGGGGGGCTTGCAGAATGACTCTAACGTATTGCTCGTGGCTGCATCAACACTCTAAGTGGATGTAGTCGGACTGCACTCCGTTTCGACTTAGGATGGACTGCAACGGAGGCTACGAGCTATCCCCGTCAACCTAGCGCTGTGACAGTAATAAGTGACTCCCCCTTTTCTGTCCTCGAAGCCGACGTGGCACTCTGATGGCTTTAAATTGGCTGCTCTGGCTGGTAGCGGTCGCTGCGGTGTATACCATACAGAAAAACAGAATATGCAGAGGGTGATGTTAGCGGAAGCCGGCACTTGAAATAAGCGTAAACACTTGCGAGTGACTGGCACAAACGTCTTCGAGGGTATTTTGCGCTTTATGAACCTTGTTTAAGTGATATAAGACGCGTGAAACCCCCTTGTGTGCACGCAGTAAAAGCTATATATATATATATATACATCGCCATCGAGGCAGATGCCAGCAGTGTACACTGTCTTCAAACTCCGGATCCTCTAGCCTTTCTGTGAGGGTAAGTCACATTTGTTGTGCGAGGATTTGTCTCTGTATCGTCTTTAGTCGTGTGTTTATTTCTTTTAAATAGAGAAATTCGAAATATTTTTTTTTCATTTTAGGGGTCGATATTTGAGAGGTTTCGTAGAATTAAAGTATAATTCATTTGATTGAGAGCCACCCAAAAATGATCGTTACTGATTCGCTATAAAAAAGACGTCTCCTAATAAAAAAAAAAAAAAAGGCCAGAGGAAAGAAAAATGCGTAGAAAAATATAAATATATTTGCATAACGGGTAGAAATGTTTAGAAGTTGAAAAATACAAATTGTTTTAGCAGCTCAGGGGTTCTAATCGAGGATGTCGTATAAGGCGGGATTTTCGGTGTCATTTGCTAATATATACTATGCGTATCTCTAAAGTGTACACAAAAACAAAAAAAAAACCAATATTTTCCAGCTTATATTGAGGTGCTTTCTGGGCAATATAAAAGACCAGGGAGACCGATAGTGTCATTACTATCTAATTTTATAATACAAGTGGAACTAACTGAAGCTTAATTTGCCGTCTGGCAATAGCTGTCTTAATATACCTTCAGCCTGCGATATAATAGACCCTTTCTGAAATTCAGTCCCGCCATTTCGATCACTATCATCATTGAGGGAATTTCATATGTGCCGTACCAATGGTGGCCTCCTGGTTACAGATGTGGGAAGCAGCTGAACATGTTCATAAGCGGATGTTTTGAGGCCTATATTCGAGGCGGTTCTAGGGTGCGACGCATGAATAGAATACAAAAGCTGCGTAAGCGTTTGCTTCTAACTCGGGACCAGTCAATTTGTTGGCGGCTCACAATCGCCTCTAAAGCCCCTCGATGTATAGATTTTTTTATGAAGGCGCTCATTTGAGTTGCCGCTTTGTCCTAACCGGAAGTATTTTGTGGGCATCGAAACGGAGAGACCGAGAACGAACTGGACAGTGAAGAGTGCCACCTCGTCCACCCATGACTTGCGAAAATGGCGGTGCCGTTTAAAGAACTAGACTTCAGGTTTATTTCCGCCATTAGTACGGCAAAAGTTAAACTGATACTTCAGCCACCAGATCACACTAAATTCCTGAAATAGTAGAGCGGTGGGTGCAAGTCATTATTAACTTCTTATCTTAGTCAGAAGGGCAATTAGCTCTTGATTAAGTTAAGTATTTGGAATCTTATACAGTATACCGAGCTTCTATTTAGCATGAGTGAGTATTTTTTTCATATTTACTTTTTTGCCTTTCATTATTCGCACCTGTTAGATGAAAAACGAATCAAAGCAGGTGTAAATATTACTCATAATGTTGTAAGGATAAACGATTCCTTGTACCGCCGGTTTGCTCCTCCGGTGGTTGCACGCCGAAAGTGTATTGCCTATCAAAAGTGCACACGCCAGAATAGCCTCCTATACTCCCGATTGTTTCTTTTATTGGTTCTCCCGCGAATGACCTGTCAAAATATTTGGTAAAGTTGCTGGCCTCTCTCACGGGAAAACAAGAAACGGCTTTTCTGTTCAGAACTTGCAAAAGTTCGGTCAGTTGTTTTACACACAAACCCTTCCGCGTGGGAAAATGTTCTCTATTGACGAAGTTTTCTTTTTACTAATGTTCCGAACGATGTTGCCATTGACGTTGCCATTAATGTTGAACGTGAACGCTTACTTAATGACGAAACGCTGGTGACGCGCACGTCGCTTTACGTAGATGATATCTTTTTGCTTCTAAGGTTTTGCCTTAATCAATGTTTCTTCGCCTTGCGCAGAGAGGTGCCCTACCAAGTGAACAGCTGTCGGATTGAGCGCACGGCATCTGTCAGTTTTGAAAATCTCGTTATGGAGCATATCAAGGAAAAGGTGCTGAGAAATGTAACTTTGCCTGTCAAATATTATCGTCGATAGGTTGATGACACATTCGTTTCTTTAGATAAGAAACACGTCAATAATTGTCACCAAGATTTAAACAATGTTCACGCCACACTATACAGTTTACTTTCGAGGCAGAACAAGATGGTATAGAGATTTTAACGCTGGAGAGTGGGGACAAGGAGGCTAACATGACACAGATCTCCATGTTACCCTTTTACGCGGTATGTGTAATGCGATCGGTTGAGCTGAACAATGGGACTGATACAAATGTACAGGGTAAGCCATGTGAAACAGGAAAGTTTATGGATTTTCGATTTAACCAGTTAATGCAAAACAAGTTAATAGTACGATCATTTTTGCACAGGTCAAACACCAATCCGTCTATTTACGTTCATGGCACAAATAAATTGGCACATGTGAATGAATCCTTGAAGAATGGGCACTACCCGAAGCTGTTTGTTGATGATGTCAGCAACCAAAAATAAAACGTCGAAATGTGTCAAAAAGAGGGTAATAAGAGTGTGTTGTGTATTCCGAGGATGTCTCTGAACCGCTAAGCCGCGTTTTGCGGCCACTTTGTTTTCGTACTGCGTTCATGCGTGCCAAACAATTGCGAATACTGTGTCCATGCCGAAATACCCCACCCTAACAGATGTCCGGAGAGGAGTCATCCACAAGATTCCGTGTACTGACAAGATCCCGTGTACAAGATTCCGTGCTTCATACAATGTTGAAAGAGGACGCAGGAGAAACACTCGACTGAAAGAACACAAGCGGGACGTCACTTGGGCATGGGACGCGACTCGCCTAAAAACTTAACTTGTGGAACATATTTGGACGATGGGTTATTCTTTTCACTTCGCGGCTGCAAAGATCTTGTCGAGGAAGGAGGGATGGGGTCAGAGAAAACTGCTAGAATCGTGGTTCATACGAAGGGACACGTCATCGTGTAACAAAAATCGGAGCTTTCTCCTCGAAGCGTACGAGACCTTCCGATAAATAGAACTGTGCCGAGATAGACCTTTACATTGCTGCTGTACTTACTGAAAATGCCTCTCGCACGGGAGGCGAAACGTTTAATGAAATGGTCTATATGCTACGTCAAGTCGGTGTCCTCATTTTAATTACATATATTACCCCGAATGCAGTTTTTTGGCTTCTAGGCAGTTTTTTTTTTCTTTTAGAGCGCAGCTCTTAGGGGCCCGTTTCCAGCCTGAGCGGCGTCGGCGTCGGCTTCGGCGTCGGCGTAACCGGGGGGGGGGGGTCACGTGACCCCCTCGAGGTCACGTGACCCCCCCCGAAGGGACCCCCTCGAGGTCACGTGACCCCCGAGGTCACGCGACCCCCCCTCCGATGTCACGTGACTCCCCCCCCCCCCACCGAGGTCACGTGACCCCCCCCCCCCACACCGAGGTCACGTGACCCCCCCCTCCCCCGAGATCACGTGACCCCCCCCCCCCGGGGTCACGTGACTACCCGCAGGTGACGTGACCCCCTCAGTGCCCTTCCCTACTCCTCCTCAAGAGCTGCGCTCCAATTCGGCGTTACAGGGATTTGTCATAGCCTCCTCTATACGGAGAAAGCCTGGCGCGTCGCGTGAAAAGACGGCCGCCGTAAATGGGAAAGGAGGGGCGGAGAAACGGGAGCGGAGAGAACCTTGCCCGCTAGCGCCACAAAAGAGCGAGCGGCCAAACGCAGAAACAATCTTTTTTTTTTCTCTCTCTCTTTTCTCGTCGCTATCGCGGAGAGGAGAAACTCAACGTCCACCCTTTCCCGTTTCTCCCTGCGCCCTTTCGAATCGCCGCGCCCGTTTCTCCCGGAGTACAAAAACGACGGTGACGAAAACACAAAAACAAGCGTGGTTCGGGGAGCGGCCGCTCACGACCCAAGCGCTCGCTGTCTAGGTCTGCCCTTTGTGCTCTGCGCTACCATATTGGTCACCGTTCGGCGCGCTCCTCCTCTCCTTTTTCCTGCGGCCGCGCGCTCTATGGCTCCGTCGTCGATTTGCCAGGCTTTCTCCGTATAGAGGAGGCTATGGATTTGTAAACGGCTTTCATTTTTTTTTTATTTCATTTAACTAGGGGCCTATATTCATTGAGATCTCATAATCAAAACGACATGGGAACGCTTGTGAGCATTTGATGGCAAGAATTATTTGTTATGAGAGGTTAATGATCAAGTCAAGTAACAACGGAACGGAACTATGATCTTTCCATTCCAATGCTCTAGTGATTGTTTTGTTATACTACATAATATAACTGAGCATTAAATGCAATCCGTTTTGTTACAGGCAAGAAGCGAGCGACAATGGCGTTCATTGCTGCTCTTGCCACTGTACTTTGCTTCAACCAGGTGTTGTCCAAGGACTTCCCGAAACCAGGTACAGTCGTGTCTTCAGAGTTTGCTTCCTCGGGTGGCATGTTTTGAAACGTGCAAGCTAAATTATGAAATTGTTCTTTGTAATGTAACGCGATAAAGATGTGACAAATAGCATACAAAAATAAAATAAAAACCCTTCTTGTAAATATTCGGGTCACACTTTGATGCGACACTGTTAAGTAACGAAGGATTTTGTTAGAAATAAGTAAGACATGTTTTAGAAAAGTCTATCTTTCTACAGTTGCGTCGGCATCGTTTTCTTTATCTGCCTATGTTTGCGTCCACAATTTTGTGCGTTTGCTCGCAGACCCGCGGCAGGGGGTGAGAGCGTGAACGGGGAGTCGTCTTGTTCTCTCAAGCGCGGGGGGCTTCGAGCAGCCGCAGGGCTCGGTGGAGAAGAGTCGGACCCCGGCCGTTAACAAACGGATTGGATTTCAGTTTGGGGCGCCGGAACACCCCTGTCTTGGGCTTCTGTCCGCACTAGTGGCTTTTAAGCGGGTGTGCTTGTGTCCGGCGTATTTCGCCGCTTAGTGTAGGAACTTCGCTTTTAGTCAACGCAATAACTTAACTCGGTGGCGCTGGCCGGCGGTAAGGAAAGCATGTGGTGACTCTACAAAGAATTTGGGTTCGACCGTTGAAGTGTCGGAGGGGGGTCACGTTGACAGCTCGCTGATCATTGGGTAAGAATATACCACGTGACAATGGGCAAATTTGAAGTGATTGGTCCGTCTCTGGAGGGAAAGGAGGCCCCTACGAGTCTAGAAAAGGGCTGCCGAGAGAATTCTCGGGGATTCGGCTTTTGAGATCAGGCAGATTCGGCTCTTGAGACTGGGGACTAAAGTATGGGTTTTAATTTTGGGAGTTCTGAAATGTAAATTACCGTTGACTTGTTATCGCTTTGTTTTGAAATAAATGTGGCCACACTGGCCATCGTAAACCAAACAACGTCGTAATGTGTCCAGCGGGATCGAACAACTTTTAGTTTTTTTTTTCTTATTCGACTTCCCGGGACACTTCCATCGGGCGAACATCATCATCGGTCGTCACCATCCTGACCGGCCCCCACCTTCCCTCGGAAAGTTGACTGACACTTCATTCACTCTCAGGTTAAAAAAAAATAAAAATTCTAGGGTGAGCTGAATTCCGAGCATCTAATTAGCGCTTAGCAGCCAATGAGGTTGCTGCATTCGCCGATAAGAACGTCAATGGACAAATAATAAAGCAAAAAATGTGAACATAATTAACCACATACCGCGTTTCTTAAGCTGGCAGTGTGTGACTAGTTTTGACGAAATTAAATGCTAGCGCCAACAATAATTAGTTTATAAAATTCTTGATACATTTGCCGATTATATTTATCCGTGTCTCTGACGTGAAGCCGTATTGGCAGTCTACGTGATGAAATATCGAATCTTGAAGGTAAGATGAAACACAAAATGTATCAATAGGCAACTCGAATTATACAACCATATCTTTGCGGCTGCCTTCCCAAAGAGGAAAGCGTTTCTAGACACGCTGCTACACAGATAAAAGTACTTCAAATTTTATCGCTCGATGAATTTTGTAGTCCAAGTTACTCACAGTGAATTGGCACATGTGCACGAAGATAATAACTGATTCGTCGGGAGAAGAAACGTGAAAACAGCGGAAGGGGCATATTTATTTGCCCGGGAACACTACGCACAATTTGCAAGATAATTAATTTTATTTCGCATCGCGCAGAGAACTGTGACGTTCCGGAGAAAGCCCAGCTAGAAGAGAAGCTGGACCAACTCTTCAGGAACCTTCCCGAGGAATACCTGGTCGACGGCTTTAGGACGGAACTGTATCCCGGTGCCATTTTTCTGGAGGCTGGCACCGTCTCACGCCTGGACGAGTTCAGGCCCGACAGACCCTACGAAACATTCTGCCGGGGTAATGACACGGTCACTCTGTTCAGCATCTACTCGAAGTACCCGATTCACATGACGATTCCCTGGAGACTTTGTTCGAGCCATAACGGGACCATCGTCACTTCCGTCGATCGCGTTCGGTACGAAGGAGAACTGGTCATGACGAAGACACAGGCTGGCACGCAGTCGAAGATAACAAACTTAATGCCGGTCGTGATGGAGAACATCAAGGTGGAAATGACGGGCGCCGGAGAAACCATGCACATCATTGCGCAAATGATAGGAGATATTGTCTCTCGGCCCGTTAGAGTTTTGTGGACCATGGTGGTTACTTCCACTTTTGAGAAGACGTTGGACAAAACTTTGGAGACCTTAAATTAAGGCTGTGCCCTGCACATTTTAATATGTATGAAATGCATTAAAGACTACAGGAAAACCTTCAAGGCTTTGTTGGCCCTGCTGCAAACCCTTAGTGTTTTTTTAAACGTTCATTCGCTTTCAGTAAGTTATATCACAGAGCTACGAAGCGGCTCGCAAAAGCTGGTATCGTAAGTTTGACTGACCGTCGAAATTTAGATTCGGGCTGTTATATATGGGACAACGGGTGTAAAAACTACACCCCGTATTTCGCAGAGTGTATGACAGGATTTGATGATTTCATGTGCAGATGCTCTGCTGCTACCGAGCTTTGCTGACAGGGTCTGTCCGCGAAAAGCCAACCTGTTTCTCTACTACGCGTCGGCAGACGACTTAACTCCGCCAATGTGAAGCCCTAGTGGTTGGAATGTGATAAAACAATAAAAAAAAAAAATGTGGTGGCTACTTTAAAAGCTAACTTAAACTTAAAAAAAAAAAAAAATTCAAGAAGAAATTTGGGTTTGATTTCGGCAGCTAGCTTTATTGTTCTTCACGTACTCTGATGGTCTGGTGGCAGCCACTTTCTCATAAAACATTTATCTCAGCTGTTTTTCAACATTTGAGTCAGAAACAGTTAGTTATAAAATTTCGACACGGTATTCAATTTCAGTGGACATAATTAAGGACTTTTTCATTAAGAAAATATCTACCTCAAACAAACGCTTCCAATCGGATATAATGCAGAGTTCTGGAATATAAGTTTTATATAACAATTCTCCAGGCTTAAAATACCCAGAATCCCCCTGCCCCTCCCCCTCCCCTCCAACAACAATAACAACAGCAAAAAAATATAGGTTGACTCGATTATTGACTTCAAGGGTAACTGGAAAGAAAAAAAAGTGTTTTTTTAAACAGCCTAATTGGGACAAGCATGTCACAAAACAAATGTTCCGCATCAAATTAATTTTTTCTTAGCAGTATTTACGTCACAGGACGTAATTTAGTCGGAGTCAGAACCTCTCCGCATTTGAAACTCCCGCTCTTTCGCCCCTGGCGGAGGAGAACTACCCTTGGTAGTTCTCCTCACTCTTGGATTTGCTCTTTTTTGTTGACTTGGCTGCTGAATTTAGAGTCACTCAATAAAGCTACGCTTTCAGAGTACCGAAACTCCCAAACTACGCGTCTGAAGCGCGTCAGGCGCCGCCATCTTGGGTCCACGCGCCGATGGAGGAGCGCCTGTAGCTGAGCCAAGCCGAGCTGTAGCCGTCACCTGCGCCAGCTGCCGTAGCCGCAGCTGTGGCAGCGAATCAAGGTCGTGTTGTTCGTATCTCGACACAAGAAGGAAAAAGTGCGTGCTGAGCGACGGACTTCAGCGTGCGCGCGCAGTAAACAGTAAAACAGCAGCAGGCAGCGGATCGCTGGACCCAAGATGGTGGCGTTGTAAAAACGCGATAATGATGATAGCGACTCACGTGACTGCCGCTGTCCAATGCTGCTGCAGCGAACCAGAATATTGTTGAATAGAGCGACTGCATTGTCGGCAAAGTGCCAAAGAAAAGGAATGCGGCACTCTGAAAGCGTAGCTTATTTAGTGACTCTAGCTGGGTTGAACGACGCAGCGTCTCGACTTCCGGTAAGATCTGGCAACAACGCACGTTAAACATGGCGCCGGTATTGCTTTGGTTTGACGGTTCACGAGAAGCTGCACTGTTTGCGAGCACATAGTGAAGACGTGAACGGAGAAGTGCCCCTGTGATGTTCCCGAAAGACGGAAAGTATCATTTGTAATCGTCGTGTGCGCTTTAAAAGGGAAGAGAGTCACAGGGTCCACGAGTGTGCAACCACGAGCCAACGTTCACGACAGCGCTGCGTTGACTTCGGCGATCTCGTTCTGTTTGGTGCAACACGGCGATGCGACAAAGAACTGGAAGTACACATCTACTTTTACACGGAGCGCAAATTGGCTGTTGTGCGGTTTAGGTTCAACGGGTTCAGTCCCGTCGTCGTTCTCAGGTCATCCAGTCAAACTGGTCCGGGAGGACGCACCGAGCGTTTTTAAAAGTAAATCTTCCTTCGTTCCGTTTTAAAATATGGAAGATTCCCGACGCATACCGTGAGTAAAAAGCTGCGGGCGTTTTCAACAAAATTACGTCGTTTTAATGGAACAATGAACTCCGAATTGTTGTCCTAAATCTGCCGTAAGTTATGCTTCGTGTTGGATTGCGTTTGCACAGCGACGTGTTGCGCTCATCGTGCGGAGTGAATAAATTTGGGCTAGATTTCCTACCTGCCCACAGATGCATGAACTGAGACCATTTTTTTTACGTAGCGAACAAAGTGCTTTTTTCTTTGTTATTTTGGCAGGAGGCGTTGTGCATTTATTACGGTACAACCACTTGAAAGTTCAGAAATTGGGGAGGGCGAGCAAGCTTTCCGAATTTTGTCTCTTTGCTCTCTGGCACTGCCCCTAGTTTCAAGTTTCAGTTTCAGTAGACATACATACTAGCAGGCAGAAACTGCTCTAAAACAGGCAAAAACCGGGAAGTCGGGACGGTGCGGACTCCGTGTTTCGCGCTTTTCGCAAGGTGACTGGGGAAGTGCTTTTGCAAGGTATGCGGAATATGCAGCCGATATTGTTATGCCCGTCGTTAGCGTCCCTCCAGCAAAACGAATAAGATAATCTACAAAGCAGCGATCACAAGCCAATATTACTATAACAGTACACATTCATTCAAACAACTTTACGTAAGATGGTTCGAGAGCCGAGAAAAAAGATCTGTCGGCTAACGCAGAATTCGGACGTCCGAGGGCTTCTGCGGACAGCTATTACGGAATCACCTGGCTGTGCCAGGTTTTTTACGTAACAGCTGTGTCTGGTCGCGGACGTTCGATGCACCCGAGGCACCCGGTGCGAATCTCGACGGACTCCGGAGCGATATGACAAGAACGTAACTGGACACGTTTGTCCCTACGCGAATGCCCGATTGCCTCCAGCCAAATAGCATTCCTTTCGGGGCGACATGGCTGCTGGAAGGCTCGCTGTCAGTATCACTCATCTGACATCTCCGAAAAGTCAGCAATTGCACGCGCAAACGCAAAAAAGAAAAAAAAACAAAAAAAAACACGCTAAGCAAGCAAAGAGGAAAACGAAAGAACCGCGCTATGAAAGACAAAACCCCGCGTCGCTTCCTATCACTAACACATGTGACAGCTGCTAAACAACCCCCCCCCCCCCCCCCCCCAGACAACTTCACTTCAAGAAGTCTCATTCAAGCAGCTGGGTCAACACAAAACACTGATCACTTCGGCGAAACGATTAGTCGAGGTAGGCGAGACAGGCGGGAGCAGAGACTTCGGCGACCATGAAAGAATGGCGAAGCTTTTGTTTCTTATGGTATGAATCCAAACGGAAGTGCCCGTCTTGTAAACCTTTTGTAAAGAATAATAATTCTCATCACATGGGTTATTCTTTAAACATAAAAATATTTCGCTCAAAAGGAATTTGCAACATATAACAAAGGTTTAACAACCAAGATCTAAGCTGTCAATCAAAATCTTAGGCAGTGAGAAGTATAGCAGTCGATTGGGATTAAACGTCACGGAATCCCAACAATTCGTGACGCGCGATTTAAAACGGGCGAAATAGCCGCAAACTAAAATCAGTCTCACGCGATAAATAATGCTGTGAACAATTTTTTTTCTCGCGGAAAAATTGTTTTTTGACATGCTTGTCCCAACTAGGCTGTTTAAAAAAACACTTTTTTTCTTTGCAGTTACCCTTCAAGGGTAAACCGCATGTAAACGATTTGGCGAGCGACGAGACAAGCGACGGCTACCCGCTTCGCTGTCGCTCGGTCAGTCGCGCGACGAGGCAAACTGCATTAAAGCGACGGGAACAAGCGACCAAGGCAATAAGCGACATTTTTAGAAATCCAAAAACCGAACGACGCGACGGGCGACAGTGAGAAATCTCCATCGCTCTTCACCGACTCTCGTCGCTGTCGCCGTCGCTGGTCTGGTCGCTCGATAAATCGCTTACATGTGGTTCAGCCTTGAAATCGAACAATTGGAATGCGTTACTCTGGGAACGTTACGTGGGATATTCGTGAAGTTATGCGCTTTCCCGTGAAAAAGCTGTCCCAGGCGAATGACACTTTATGACTCCCCTACGTAGTCGCCCTTTGGTGTGATGCACATCTCCCGGCGGTTCTCCAGTGCTGCCAACATATGGAGAAAATTCCATTTGTCTTGATCCTCACACCACTCAAGCACAGCGTCCATGACGGTGTCGTCACTGCGGAAATTCTGTCTTTCAGTTGTTTTTTGAACGCAGATAAACGGTGAACGTTTGACAGTACCAACTCCGGCGAGTAGTGTGCATGTGCTAACACTTCCAAGTCAGATTCGCTAGTCTACTGTGTGGAGGCGCCGAAATATGACGGGGTGCATTATCTTTGAGGAAAAGCATGCCACGTTCAAGTTTTCCGCGACGATTCTTGGCACCTTCTGCCAGCAATTTCTACAAGACTGCGCAAGAGAGTGCAAGGGGCTGCAAGGGGATTGGGCTATACACTGGCGAAATTCATTCCTAATGCGCCAAAGCCCCCCCCCCCCCCCCCCCCCCCCCCCCCCCGCCCAGGAAACTAACTGCCTCTCAACCACCCATTAAGTATCACAGAACGACTGAGTTGCACGCTATGTAGGTTACAACCACGTCGTGCAATGTTCAGAAGGGCATTAGATTACTTATGGCGTCTGTACCAAGCGGCCAAGATTCGATGCCGACTCGCAGGAAAAGGGCGAGGAGACACATGCACGTGCGAAGAGGAGCGTGTTTAGAAACGTAAGCAATCATTGGCGGGTGACAGGAAATAGCTTCAAGGGCACTCCCGGTCTGTGTACTGGCAAATGGCAACATTTACTGCTTGCGAAACCCGTTTATAATGTCTGGACTGTCTCTAGCTTCATCACTCGACGTTGGTCGCATCAGATCAAAACTCTTCGAAGCTCCGGATGCTCTAGGGATATTTCTTTCCAGGTAAGGCGACCCCCTTTAGACTATTTTATCCTTCAAATGGGTATA